GTGTCCCAAGACTACTGTCCCAAGACTAGTGTCCCAAGGCTACTATCCCAAGACCAGTGTCCCAAGGCTACTGTCCCAAGACCACTGTCCCAAGACCACTGTCCCAGGACCACTGTCCCAAGACCACTGTCCCAAGACCACTGTCCCAAGACCACTATCCCAGGACCACTGTCCCAAGACCACTGTCCCAAGACCACTGTCCCAAGACTGTGCCGTCCCAAGACTGTACGGTCTCAAGGCTGTACTGTCCCAAGACTGTACCAAGACTGCTCTGGTTCAAGACTATCCCAGGACTGCACTGTCCCAAGACTGTCCCCAGACTGCACTATCCCAAGACTTCTTTGGCACTGTCCCAAGACCTCTCTGGTACTGTCCCAAGACTTCTTTGGCACTGTCCCAAGACAGTTAACAAGTGTTTGAGCGGTGGGACCTCCTTCTTCTTCGTTGTAGGGACTTCTTGATTCACTGTACCTTGTACCATCACTCAAGCTCTAGTAAAAATTTTCCCAAAAACCCTCTCTTAGTGGCCAAATGCTGACCCCCCTTTTTTAGTTACCTCTTTTTCAATGTTCCAAGCAACTTGAAACCAAAACCTGTGCGCAGGTATCTTGTGATCACCTGTTCGTATAAAAACCAAACACAAATCCTTACCAAAATGCAACAAAAATCTAAGCAAGAAAAAATAATAAAAACAAAGAGATGAACCTAAAAAATTCAAAGGTGACAAATGTCTACCTTCTATCGAAAAAATGTCTGGTACTTAATTGCCAGGCGTTTTCCTCCCCCCTGCTAGCGATCTTATGGGGTATCACAAAAACTGTCTATGTCCGTTCCCCCCTACCGATCCGACCAGGGACCTACCTTAACCTGATTCTAATTTTGGATATCCGCTTCCTATGACCAACGCGTGTAAATATCTAATGTAACTAAGTCGACGATGCCGAGCAATTAGTTACTCTAATGTGTCCCCCCTTTTTACAAATTATAACCGCCAACCTCTAACTTAACCAGCCCCCCTTCTAACCTCCCCCCTTTTAGCCCCCCTTCTTAAGCCTAAAATTACCTTAAGCGCCGGGTGCTAAACCTCTCAAGAGAAAACCGTAGACCTGTCTCCAGGCCTGCTTAAGTAAAAACGTTCCTCAAAACCGGGGGATTTCGCTTATCCAATTTTACACTTATCTCCTATAAGGTAATGTGGATTTTAACGATACCCGTTCTGCCCAACTTGAGAACTCGAGAACTGCCAAATCCTTCTTGGCTACTTTCCCACTCGACTGCTCACCTCTTCCAGTCCAGTCTCCTATTGGTTCAGCTCAAGTGCTCCTGAACCACTTTCCCACTCGGCTGGTCACCTCTTCCAGTCAAGTCTCCTATTGGTTCAGCTCAAGTGCTCCTGAACCACTTTCCCACTCGGCTGGTCACCTCTTCCAGTCAAGTCTCCTTGTTGTCCAGCTAAGTTCCAAGCTATCTGAAAACCCTTGACAACGCCCCACACTCGGGCACTTTATTGAGGTTACTGGGTTAAATTGCTAGGTTGATCGAAACGATCGAACTTGTAAAACAGTATGGGTATACTTTTTAATTAATATAAAGGTTTGATCCAACTAATCAGGTGTCAAAGTCACTGTCTTTTTTCGTTTTATGGTTTTTGTTCCTTTTTCTATTCTTTTCTGGTTTTTGTTTTGCTTTTTGTCTTTTTGATCGTGTTTTTGTCCCCCTAGTTGCCACCTTTTACTCGGTTAGCTAAGCCTCGTTCGGAGAGCGTACCAGGAAGTTTTCTCGAGTTTTCCAAAAAAGCTTTCACGGTACAACCGGAAGGTTTGCACGTTCCTGCCGAACCGTACCACCGGTACTCTAGAAAGGGCATGCAGCCCGAAGCTGTCTCAAGTGGGTTCGACTCCGTAGTCTTGATGTCGTAAACACCCAGGAGCGCCATAAAAACACTATGTAACATTCGTCTATTGTAGTCACACATGAGGCTTAAGAAAAATAGGCCCTATAACCATTGGCTCAAGAGTCAGGGACACTATCTCTTGTGTTTTTTTACCTCAAATCAGTCGGAGCCAATTCGGTTTGCTTGTGACATGAGACTACGACCCGTTACAGCTTAAAGGCTACTACCAAAAAATCCCCCCCCACTCTAGAAATAAGAACGTCCCCATACTTAGGTCTCTAGATACCCAAAATACATGAACGCCGTTAAAAACCGGGTCGGAACAATCCGTTAAGTTAGTTTTTATTAGACAGTGGAACTTTGATCCATTTCAGATGGATCAACCTAAAACTCGCCTTACCTCAACATAACAATCATAAAACACACTCTAGAAATTTAAATTGGGTACTCACATCGTAGCACGCTCAAGAACTGGGAGTAATTAAGTTAGTTAACAACTCGAGAATTAAATAATGTTACTAAATGAGTTTAATGTTTGTTAGTTTCAATAACAGGAACAAGTTTGAACTCTGGAGTATAGTTTCTCGTGAACCATTGGGACACTCAAGCTGTCCACCTTTCCATCGAAGGTTCACTCTAGTCCAGTTTGAATGATAATCCAGTCGAGCAATAATAGTCCAATTCTCGGGAATACGCTTCCTTCTGTTTCAGATAGGACAGCTCTACTCTAGTTTTATTGTGACGGAAATTGCGAATGGCAATTTCCTACTGCTTTATCTGGCAACTTTCCCGCGATTGTTACTCGATCGTTCTGATTTCTCTTTTCCGGTTTTCAGTTATCGCGAGAGAATCGTGCATGACGCTCCATTCGAATTTTTGAAAAATCAAATTTCACTCCAAAATTAAGCGTTCTTGTTTTCCTCAAGGTCAAACTTCCAAATATGACCGACTGGCACAGACCTCCTAGCTTTAATTCTGCCAAAATTTTTACGCTATATTTGTGTTATGATATTATTTTATTTGAACGAGAGCAAGTTGCTTGTAATGGGTACTAGAATTTTCCCGTAAACAACTTTTCTTACATTTTTGCACGTAGAAGTTACAGCGCTAACAGCACGTATTTCTTACAACGTACAAGCTGATAGGCTCAAATTCAAATAATGCTACTTCTTTGATCATTTTGGTGGGAAATAGTTTTATAATTTATTGAATAAATGTTGATCTTTCGGAATAGTTGTTTTCGTCCTAATTTTTGTGCGCTGATTTTCCATTTTTTCCCTTAAGCCTTGTATATTATGTGGTACGCTTTCCCAGTAATTTCATTCCAATGCTTTGTTTTTTTTTTCATGCAAACAGTTTTGCTATAATTGAAAGTTCTTCTGTTGTTAGTAAGTTTACCAACTCTGTTTTTGAATAATCTTATTCATTTTTTTCGATTAAACGGCGTCACTTTGTAATGTCGTCTTAGTCAACTTATATTGCATAGACTCGGGGGATTTTTCAATGCTTTTCCGAGTTTTACGTTGTGAAAGTTTCAAGTTTTAATTTTTTTTATGACTAGCTTCGGTTTCGGCTCTATGATGGTCGGCCCAATTTTTGCTGCCATAGTTGCCACTCGGCCATTGATTTTCAATGCTTATAAGGTCTGTTTATGAACATCATCCGAGACAAAGGTAAGAACTTTTCAAGATCTTGTTATTCAGACTTAATTCATGTTTTTTTTTCGTTTAATTGGAAAAAAAATCGATGCACTTTACAATATCGTCTTTAGTCCTTGTAGTTATCCAGATATGACATTTGTTGTGATTTTTAGTTGATCGAGATACGACATTTTTGTGATTTTTCTGAAGTTTATCAGAAAACTCAACTCAGAAAAGGAATTTTTTAAATTTGAAATTCCCAAACCTTTAGTGGGGTGCTGTCTGGGTACTCATAGGAGTTGCAAATCTTGCCTCCAAATTTGACTGCTCAAATCCTGAAGTTTTTCGAGATATGAGGTTTTTTATGTTTTGTTCGAAATTTTCAGTTAACTTAGATTTAGAAAAATTCACTAAATTTAGATATCCCAACCCTGTAATTGGGTGCTGCCTGGGTACTCCCAGGAGTTGTAAATCTGGCCTCCAAAAATGACTACCCAATTATTTGGACTTTTCGAGATTTGACATTTTTGAGATTTGACGGAAAATAGGTATTAAAAAATGTATAAACTATGAAATTACCAACCATGTAATTGGGTGATGTCATAGTGCACTAAAAGCCTGCAGATCTGGTTAATATATGCGGTTTTTCATGAGATGTGAAAAATTCGAAGCACCAGAGGTGCATTAAACGCTAGTTATATTTTTAAATGCAGGCTTCACTATCTCGCATTGTTTAAGCTTTTTCAATGTATTATTTTTGCATGTTTAACAAAAGAATTTTTTCACGTGCTATAACGTATAATGCAATGGTTAAATTTCTAGAAAACTTAATTTTTTTCAAATGTTAAAAATTCGGAATTCTCAGCCCTGTGTTTGGGGGCTGTGATGGTACTCTCAAGATTTGCGAATCTTGCCTCATAATTTGACTGCTTGAAGTCTTGTAGTTTTCGAGATATCGAGATATGACGTTTTTTGTGACTTTTTTTGAAAAAGTTTTCAGAAAAATTAAATAAATTTTTTCTCTAAATTTAAATTTCACAACCCTGTAGTTGGGGGCTGTCATGGTACTCTTAAGATCTCATGAAATGCGAATCTTTCTTCCAACCGTGACTGCTCCAGATTTTGTAGTTTTTCAGGTTTGACGTTTTTTTTTTTCAAAAAATGTTCAGAAAACTCAAATTCAGTTTTTTTTTTAATTTGAAGTTCCTAACACCCTGTAGTTGGCGGCTGTCAGAGTAATCTCAGGGATTGCGAATCATGCCTCCACTTTTGGTTGCTCAAATGTTTTGATTTTTATCGAAGTGACGTTTTTTTTATGGTTTTTTCAAAAAAATTTTTTTAGAAAACTTAATTTTGAAGTGTCTCAAAATTTGAAATTTCCCAACGCTGTAGTTCGGTACTGTAAGAGCTCTCTCAGGAGTTGCAAATCTTGCGTCCAAATGCGACTGCCCAATTGGTTTTAGATTCCGAGATGTGATGTTTCTTTTAGATTCCGAGATGTGTGAAAAATTTTGAATTAGAACTCGGTGCTGTCAGAGTACAATCAAAGGATCCAAATTTCATTTCCAACATTTACGGTTTTTTATGAGTTGTTAACAATTCGAAGCACCGGAGGTGCGTTACACGCTGGTTCAATTTATTCGGAACCTTCTGTGCCATTTGCGCAGCAACAGGTTATCCTTGGTTATTTTTTGTTTTTTAGAAGGCTTAATAATTTCTGTTTCTTTGAAATTGAATGATTTGGAAGCGCCAAAATGAAAGAGTACACTATACGTGGCGTCTCACTAGCATTTCCTTACAATGCTTATCCATCTCAATTATCTATGATGAACAAAATTATATCGGGCCTTGTTGATGCGAACAATTGTCTCTTGGAGAGCCCTACTGGATCTGGTAAAAGCTTAGCCCTGCTTTGCAGCTGCTTGGCATGGCAAGAGAAAAGCAGAAAAGCGTTTCTGAAATATAGAGAATCTCTGGATGATTCGAACGATTTGTCAGATATAACCATAAACGGAAAAACTGTGAAAAAATCATCGCGGGCGACGAGTAATGGAAGCTACGGGAAAAGTCTTCCAAAGCAAGTTGCTGTTGAGAAGCCGCCTGTGATTTTCTACTGTACCAGAACCCACAAACAAATTAAACAGATTATTTCTGAAATGAGAAAGTTAGTAGATTGCAGTAATGTAAAAATGACAGTACTATCCAGCAGAGAACATTCTTGCATATATGAAGATGAAAACGGTGATTACGAAGGATTGAGTAAAAATGAGCGGTGCAAAAAACTTTTAGATTCGAAAGAACCGGGAGAGTGCGGGTATTACTTGGGTTTGCAAAAAGTAATTAGAGACCCTTACAAAAAAGGAAATAGTGAAAGAATTAATGTGGAAAATACACCATGGGATATTGAGGATCTGATTGATCATGGCAAAAAGAAACGCGTATGCCCGTATTTTTTGAGCAGAGAACTTCAAAAAACATGTGAAATTATTTTCTGTCCTTATAATTACGTGATTGATCCCCGCATCCGTTCTTCGATGGACGTACAGTTAGAAAACAGCGTAGTGATTCTTGATGAAGCCCATAATATTGAGGACGTTGCTAGGTCAGCCGGAAGCTTAACGACTACGCAAGATGATTTGAATTTTACGAAGGAAGAGTTAGAAACTATTCTTGGCAATGAAAAGAAAGTGGATCCAGAAGCTTTCCAACACTATGAGAACGTCAACAAACTGATTTTACCGTTTTGTAGTTATGTGATGGGTAACGCAGATAGCTTAGCTTGTGATCAGTTTGCGGAAACAAACAAATTAGTCGCTGGCGACGAGTTTATAAGCATTCTGAAAAGTCAGTACAAGTTTACGCAAGAAGAGTTCGAGTGTATATCTAGTTCAGTAGTTGCACTAGCTGAATACGAGAAAGAGCTGATGAATAACTCGAACTCGTTTCTTTCAACTACACATGGCGCCTTAAATAGATCAACTGTTTCAAAGAAGTCATTGAAGCTGTCCTCAGATTCCTGGTCACTGATTGAGAATCTCATGCTGTGTTTAAGATTCATGTACCAATCCTCTTCCGACTTCAAGATTGTGCTAATTAAAAAATACGACAAATTCAGACCTTCTAGAATTGAAAAGAGACAAGCAACGACAGCAAAGCCTGTCGGTCTTTGGTACTCGAAAACGAAGAGAGGAAAGCGCGAAAACGGAATCAGTCACCCGACGTCGGATTTCTATGAAGTGCAATTCCATATTTGGTGCATGAATCCATCGACTGTGTTTGGTGACATTGTTGGCAAAACGAGATGCATTATTCTAGCATCAGGAACACTGTCACCTATGGACTCGTTTGCAAGTGAACTTGGTTGTAGTTTTCCAGTTGTACTGGAAGCACCCCATGTAATAAAGAGATCACAAGTATATGTAAGTGCTCTGTGTCAAGGATTCAGTTCAGAAGTTCCGATAAGAGCAACATACCAGAACACTCAAACCCTGGCATTTCAAGATGAAGTTGGAATTATTATCCTTGAGATCTGCAAAGTAATTCCACACGGAGTTCTGTTTTTTCTTCCGTCATACAAATTGTTGACTCTGTTGATGAATCGGTGGTCAGCTACAGGAATGCTAACGAAGATGAACGAAGTCAAATCTGTTTTCCAAGAACCACAAAAAGGCGGAAGCTCTGAGCTGAATAGAGTTGTTTCTCAATTTCACGAGTGTATTGAAAGCTCGACCACTCATAACTGCGGAGGAGCTTTATTGATTGCTGTTTGCAGAGGGAAAATTTCAGAAGGAATTGATTTTGCAGACAAAGAAGCTCGTGCTGTGATTACCCTAGGCATACCTTATCCCAATTTCAAAGACTTGCAAGTGGAACAGAAGCGTGGCTTCAATGACCAGTACTGTGCGTCTCGCAAGTTGTTGACGGGAAGTGACTGGTACGAAATCCAGGCTTTTAGAGCTCTTAATCAGGCACTTGGGCGATGTATTAGGCATCGAAACGACTGGGGAGCAGTTATTCTGTTAGATGAGCGATTCGTTAGTCCCTCGACGTCGCAAAGACATGTGAAAAGTCTCCCAAAATGGATCAGAGGATTCATGCTACAGCCGCAGGGCTTAAGAGATACGCTTAAATCTTTGGAGAACTTTGTGGCCAATCAGCCTGCTGTTAAAATGGAAGAAACGAGCGCTATTGTTCAAAAACATGATTCAACTGCAACTACGGATGTTGAAATGAAAAATCACATGGAGCAAAAGGGAAGTGATTCTAGTTTGAGTCCCGAGGAATGTACAAGTACGATAAATGATGCCAATTTGAACAATAATATGAGAAATTACTTCAATTTCAACAAAAACGGTGCTAATCCAGCAACTAATGGTAAACGTAAGAACTCAAATTCAAACGCATTAATAACATCTACACCTTTTAATGTCAAAAACAGTAAGCGGTCCTCGAGTTTGAACTGCGATCACGAGATCCTGAAATCGGTAAACGAGTCACCTATGAAGCACAATGACAGTAGCGATGACGATATTGTTGTAATTAACGAAAGCCCAGTAATCGAAAACGAGATAGAAATTGTCCCGTTCAAATACCCAAATTCAGCGACTTCACAGGAAGATCCGATTTTTGAGCAACACGAAAAAGGAGATTTTGTTCATGACGATAGCGATATGCTTTTCGATGAATCGATGGATGCTTCTGGGATTAAATCGATATCACCGATAAAATCAAACTCGCCCCTTTATTGCAATCAATGTAAACACCAGCTCGAAACCGAAGAAGTTTCTAAATTATGCAAATTACTTGACTCCAGTGAGGTAATGAGTTTTCTTCTAAAACTTCTGAAAGTCGATTTGTATCGCAAAGTTTTTGGCAGTGACCAATCAGAAGTTTATTGCGCCTTTGAAAGTTCTATGAAATCGTTTTCTTCTCACTATGAGTTAATTTCCAGTCAATCGAGAGACGTCAATCTTAATTGCTTTTATGATGCTGATTTAGATGTTGCTTGGCAATATTTATCTTGCCCTAAAACTAATAAACGAAGCAGAGAAGTTTGTGGAATAATAATTGTTAAACAAAATGCAGAAATAAGATTACCCTCTGTGATACTTTGCGTTGTGAGGTAGAAATTTTGAAACTCTTGTAAATAATTTCAACTTCCGATTTGATTTTGTTTGCTTTTTGCGATTGTGAATTATTGTGTTACATAAAAGTAGATCAGCTTCTTCAAATTTAGATTTACTATGTACCTTTTTAATCTGTTACCAGCCAATTAGTAAATTTAGGCATTTCAAGCCGAAAGATTTCAAGTAGAATTTTTGAGTTTCATGATTTTTCATTACCAGTTTTTAGCTTTTTCATAACTTTTGAGCCTCTGATAGATGTTTAGGAATGTTAAAGATTAAAACAGTGTTGAAGGGGTTTTTCATGTGTATAACTTATGCATTTCAAATCCCTACTAATGCTACTAACGGATGCCATTCCGAACTGGTGCATTGTCATGAATAACGCTTATTATGGACTGAACTTGCCTGAATATATGAAAACTAACATTTTACAGATGAAAAGTTACCGTGCAGCGGCTGGTATTTACTTTGTTAGAAATTAAGTGTAATTGAAGGAAGTGACTTCCGCTAATATATGTCTTGATGATTTTTTTGATTTTTTTTTTGGTTCGCGGTTTAACTTATGATTTCTTTGCGATATCACATCGGAATATAGAATTTTTTCTGGTTAACAACTAGTTTAGCAATATCAGATGAATCAGCTAGAACTGCTGGTCTGTTGGCAACAGAACAGAATGCCTGTCAGCAGATATGTTTTGAGCATTTTTGCTTTTTAAATGACCGTTCCAGTAGAATTTTCCTTGTTGGATTTTTTTAGTTTCCTTTTTTTTTCACTTCATTCTTTTTCGACTTAAGTTGTTTCGACTGATGCATATCTGCTAAGTTGCCTCATATTTCATTGTTTGAATGATCAAATCTTTTAAATTGCATTTGTGCTTACGATAAGGTAGGGGTCGTAAAACTGATAATTTTTTTGGCTCAACAGTCGTCAACCCAAGTTTTGTCTGCTCTGTATGAGCTTAATGAACTTTTTTTTAACTGGAAAGTGAGTATGTTTCCTGAAATTTACCCGCATTCCAGACAAGTGTTATGTTTTTCGACTGAGGCTTGCATCCCATTTTCTTGGGTCAGCTGACGTGCCATTTCGTTGCTGTATCACAAGTGGTGCGAAGCTCCGCTTTGCATTTTGTTTCAATTTCATTTCTTTTGATAAATGAAATCAAATTCCACTATCGAACAGCAAAAGTAAAAACTTTGACTTTTTTTCAAAAATGGACTGTAATTTTCTGAATTTCCAGCAGAATAAAACAATTACCATTTGATCCAGTTTTCTCTAAAAGGGGTAAGTTTACTTCAAATAGGATAAGCTTATTGCAATCAATGTAATCATCAGATTGAAACTGAAGCAATTTCTAAATTATGCAAATTTCTTAACTCCACTGAAGTTTTGAGTTATTAAATTTCAACTTATACTGTCATTTTTACCAAATTATCCGAAAGTAATTTTAATCTTCGAACCTCTATTTGTTAATTGATGTCATTAATTGTACCAATGGAAAGACCAGCCTATTCTGCTAATCTCTTTTCATCTTATTCCACTCCCTATGCTTGGAAAATTTAGACGACTTTTTTTTCTATTTTCTCAGACAAGACCCTGTTGAATCCAAGATTAGGGGTTTGATGAAGAGAATAGGTTGTGGTTATCTTCCCTGCATTGGCGTATACACCGTACTTTTTAGAAAAAACTGTTGAGAATTTGAGAAAAGTGCAATGAAGTTTCTACCGTTTTTGGAAACTTTTTCGATGTAAAATTAAGGGTTTAATTGAAAGAAAATATTGCGGGGAACTTCCCTGCAGAAGCGGCCGGCTCAAGTAAAGAAACCGGTATGGATCTGCGAAAACTCCAATTTTTTGAAAATTTGTTAGGTTTTTAAAGTTTTTTTATTTGTGTAAAACGATCCTGGCAATTATATGATGAATGATCCAATCGAAAGAACAGTTTGCTGGAATTTTCACCGTTTAAAGTGATGCTCCTTAATTTTTGTTGGGAAGCTGATATATTGGTTTCGCTATGTCCATTTTTGAAAGTAGACCGTTTTTGGAAAATTTTGTTTACTTCTCTCAAAAACTGCTGTGATATCTGAGATGAAAGATTCATCCGCTAGGTCAATTTGTGTGAATTTTGCCTGAATAAATGATTCACTCTTAATTTGATCAAAGAAACGCTAAGTAAAAGTCCAATTTTTGAAATTTTGTCGGTGGTTTGGATTTTTTCTCGGGCCGTGCCAAATCTGAGGTGAAGGATTCAATGGAAGTATGTGGTTGTGATAATGGTTTTTTGCATAAGTGGCTACCCTCTCATAATGGTAGATTGTTTGCTATGGAATTGGGTTTTTGAACGTTTTTGGAAACTTTTTTTTCCATTTTCTCAAAATCCAACTTGTCAACTCTGAGATTAAGGGTTGAATTGAAATAAAGGGTTAAATCAAGTTGTGGCAATTATCTCTGCATGACAGGCGCATCTCTAATTTAGGTCCTTAACTGTTTGGTCTGGAAAAGTTAAAATTTTGACCGTTTTTGGAAGCTTATTCTTTGCTCGGAAAATCTTCTGCAAGTTATGTTCAACGGTTCAAAGAACAGGTTAAGCGAATCCTACCTGTAGGAGTGTTTTATCCATAATTTTTGTATACAAAACGTTGTGGTCTGGGTAAAAAAAATAATTTTTGCATTTGACTTATTTTTTTGGACCTATCGTTTTCTTAATTGACGCTGCCGATTCCGAGATTAAAGGTTCAAGCGGAAAAACAGGTTGAGGGATCTCCCGTGCTCAAGCTAATTAAATCTCGTAAATTTTGGTACGGAAAACTCTATGGACTTGAGAAATATCCAATTTGTCATTCTGTCCTACTTTAATCAAATTTTCTAAAACGCCCGTACCAAATCTGAGATTTTTTTCTGCAAAATGCAGTTCAGGAGCCAAAAACATCAATTTTTGTCACGTTTTATTTCTCTAGGCGAAAACTAACAGTTAGTAGCTATGTTCCATGCATGCTTCTTGGATACAAATAAACATGTGGAATATTGAGAGTTGCTACTCGAGTGTATTTTCAAATGTATATTATAATTTCAAAGCAGTATACATTTTTTCTTCAGATGGAGATGGATGTTGTGAAAGATATAGTAGACCGACAGAAGCTTGTCCGCGATCGTGCGTTGGAGAGAATAAAGGCGGATTTAACCAACGATAACAATGAAGCTACTAAATCACTCCTTCTAGGCAGGTTTTTGCAACTTATCTCTGCGAACACTTATTGGGAAGCCCAGCTTGGCTGTCTAGAAGCGTTTTGTATTCTTTTGCCGCATATAAGAGGTCAGAAATGTCTGGAAAATGATAAGTTGACCCCGTGGAACGATGTTATTGTGAAGAACTTGGACTGCGCTGAGAGTAGAGTGAGAAAAGCGGCTGCTTGTAGTGCTGGGGCTCTTGTGAGTGCGTGTGGCTTCGAATGTTACAGCTTCTTCCGAGATCTAGCAGTGGAGAAATTGAAAGTGAGCATTCGCTTTTAACGGTTAATTTAAAAAGATGTTTGAATAATCATTGCATGTTTTCGTGAGTGCCTTAGGTCTTCATGGTTCGACAATGCGACTCATCGGACGAGAGAATGGACACAGACAATAGTGACCAAAGTGACAATGATAGTTTAAATGATCAAACTGGTCGTTTGAGTCCAGTGGGAGGAGGAAGCAGTGACATGGTGTTGCATGACACCGCAGGCTGGAGGGCTCTAGAGTCATACATGGCATGTCTGCAGAATATCATGATGGCCATGGCTGAACAAAGCCAAACTGAAGGTTATTAAAATCTCGAATGAAAAATTGTTAATGTTGGTACTGTAGTAGCTTTTGTTATTGTTGTTTTTGTTGTTGCTTGGGATTACTAGCGTATGTTATGAAATCTTTCAATTTTGAATTTGCGAAAGCTTCATCCTCTTTTAGGAGAAATCTATTTGAAAAGATAAATATATTGCTTATTTTCCTCAAGCTTGTTTTGATGTGGATCTGGTAGTTAGATACTGATGCGATCGATTATCAAGCGTTATCAAATCGGAACTAAGACGTTTATAGGTTTTTAAACATGTTTAACAAAATCACTTAAGTCATTGGTAACAGCTTGTGCGCATCATTAACGTGCTGATCTGCTGAATTTCTTTAAAACTCAGGCTTTTTTGCTTCTCCCCACCTCACATAAGCATGGTGTAACGAGGGTTTTATAAGGTTACGTATGAAGACCAAATGTGCTTGTCATGGCCTTATTAGTCCGCCTGCCAATTTTGGTAGCAATTGGACGCTGTGAGGGAAAGGAAAAAGCCAAAACTCAAATTAAATTACTGCTGATGTTTCAATAATCGTTAGTAGTTTTATTAGTGTTTGTAATATAGCAGTTTTTTCTTGGAAAAATTGAATTGAATTGTCGGTGAATTGAATTGCTTAGTTTTGCTTAAAAGGTTCATTCAGCATGAGTTGTTTCGGCGGATGTTATATTGACATATTTGCCTCATATTGCGTCAATTAAAAAGTGATCTTAAATTTTTGAAGTGAGTGTGCTTTGGGGTGGGCGATATAAAAACTTAATAATATTTATAGCTAATTTTTGTGGCAATTTTTTTCGACTCAATGGGCGTTTAAGGAATTATTGTCGGCCTTATTACCGCTAAAAACATTTTGTTTGATTCATTTTTAGTGCTGGCAATCGTTTCAAGTTTTCACTTGCGAAAACAATTGTACTTGTAATCGGGAACTAGATTTTTTTTCCGTAAACAACTTTTCTAACGAAATACTGCTGCAGTTACTTTCAAGTGCAGGCTGAGCTACCCACTCATTTTCTCGGAAATTTAATTAAAAGTACTTTGTAGTTCATCGTAGTACTAAATATTTTCTCAAATAAAATTATTTCGGATTCGTAGCTTTCGTCCTAGTTTCCGTCGGCTCATTTTTCAGTTTTTTTCTTTCAAATGAAATTTTTATGATTTTTTATATGTCCTTTTAGCATTATACTTTCCAAAAAATGGTTTTTATTTTTAATTTAAAACGTTTATTTCACTTTCAAGTGCCTTGTAATCGGCAATTAGACTTTTTCCAGTAAAGAACTTTTCTTACATTTTTTGCTGCACGTATTTCTTCATACATTTGTATCACTAAATGCAAATATTTCTTACATGGTAAAAGCTGACATGCTCAAATTCAAATAAAAATGCCCTTTAGATCATTTTAGGTAGCAATTAAGTTTTCAAGTATATTTTTTGAAAACAACGATTTTGTGGTTTTCGTCCTAATTTCTGTCGGCTCATTTTCTTTTTTTCCAATTCTTTTTTTTTTATTTGGTACGCTTTGCAAGCAGTTTTTTTGCTAACGCTTCGGTTTTTTAATCAAAGTGTTCTCTTTCTAATTGAAAATAATCCATCGAGACAAAGTTTAAAATTTTGACTTTAGTAAAATAATTTTTTTTTCACCTAATTTAAACAAAAAAGTTTCGACTTCGTCTTTTTTTGCTCTTTTATTGCGATGTTTTTGTGGTATAGCAAAATTTGTGATGCTACGCTTTGCCTTTGTGTCCTGAAACAATTCCATTTGTCGGGACCCAAATATGAAAATATTTTGGCATGGGCATTTGTTTCGAATTTGGCTCAGTTGCAATAGGCGCGAAGCTCATTTTGCCTCTGCTTAAGTTTCTTTGTAGACGTTGATCTTCACTTACTTTGAAATTCATCTTAAAAACATATGTCTATTTTTGAAGTTTTTTGATTTTGTAGTTTTCTGGCACGATTTTTTCATAAAAATTCGAATTTTTAAGTTTAAAAGTGATTTCAAGAAAATGTCTGAAATTGCTCTAGCGACTACAGAAGTGCATTCATCCATATTAATGAATTAATGAAGGCATCTTGGTGTATATGCAGTTATTGATTTCTATTCAATTTCATCTGCTAAAATTTAAGTGAATTGGGCTCTCCAATTACCAAATCGGAAATAGCGCGAAAAAACATGAACGACTTCTATTTTTGAAAGTGGATTTTAGTTATAAGATTTTTCAATGGAGAAATAAATTTATCTTTTGATTCAGTTTGCTCAAATTGATTCAATTTTTTTTCTCAAAAAGTCAATCAAAAATTTTTGAAAATTGCTCAAAAATCTAAAAAATTTTTTTTTGTTTTCGTTTTTTTTTCGAACCTTCTGTTGGCCATGTTATATCGCATTGAAGCCCTGTCAATCCTGACTCGAGCGATCAAAATTAAAAGTTTTAGTAGGTTCATTTATTTTTTTGTTATCCACTTTTTCTAGTCAGTCGAATTTTATTTAATGTGCCTGCTCTTAGGAAGTGATATTTGTGGAAAAGGTTGAAGTATGCGCATCGGGCTCTTTATAATAATAATTAATAATTGTAGTTCCTGCGAATCGCAGAGGAGCTATCAGTAGGCCTTAACAGTCCTGTCGAGGATAGTCCATTTGTATTACTCCCCACATTCCAGACTGTTATTTTGTAGAGCGAAGCTCTTTTTAGCGACTCAAGGCCGTTTTTGTGCGTCTAGAATTTTCACGTGGTACCACTATTGCAGCCAAATTTGGTCAGGTTGTGGTAGACCTGAAGCTAGAGGTCAAGTGATTTTGTTTCCTATGTTGCAATAATCTCGCGAAGAGTTTCTTTCTGGACACTTTTTGTTCAAGTTGAATTTTCGACTGCAGTTTGCTCGATCTTAAATGTTATTTTTGGGTTATTCGGAATGTCTAATAGCTGTCGTTATTTGACTTTGTTCCATCTAAAATCACTGTTATTGGCGGGCTTTGAAAGTTATCTGTTTAAGATGAGTTAAAACCCGATTTTTAATTCTTTGCGTTGTTAGGCTTTGCTGATACTGAAGTTAATCATTTTCAACAGCCCCAATGACAATTGATCTAAGCTTTTTAGCATGTTTTTTTTTGGTGTTTTTCTCTGTCTCTCTTAAAAAAATTTCATGAAATTCTTGCAATTTTTTGCTAATGTAACTGCTGCTGAGAAAGTTTTTGTCTCTATTTATGAAAAGCGGGTTGGATTTCGTAAAAGTGTTCACAATTTCATCGAAATTTCCTTACGTAGGTCTCTACTTGCTCTAGAATTTGAAAATGCAAATTTTTGATTGTATTCTGCTAAAAATAATCTCCACAATTTGTAAGAATAACTAAGTTTTCTCGGCTTTTTTTTGTAGATCGGAAACTTGATTTTTGTGACTGGAACTAAACAATTTGTTTAACTCTGTCAATTTTTCAATAAGATGTTTAACTCTGTCAATAAGATGTTTAACTCTGTCAATTTTTCAGGAGCAGGTGCTGAGTTAGAACTGGACTCTGAATTGATTGCCCTCGTATCTCAGGCGACCGAGCACCGGAACCGCTTTGTAAGAGAGATGTCTTATCATGTGCTAAGTTCACTCATTGCCATGCAGGATGTGAACAAACCGAACAGGACTGAATTCGCTAGAAAAGTGTCAGAATTAATCGCGAGAGGTTTGTCGGATAATTGGAGTCAAGTCAGGATGTCTGCATCAGTCGTATCCAGAAAACTATGCCAAGGTAAATTTCGTTCGTTTTCTTTTTTATCCCCCCACCCAAAAAATGGTTGAAATAAAATTTGTTGAGTTTGTATTGATTTGTTGTTACTTCAAGTGCAATTATTTGAAATAACTAAAAGAGAAAGGAAATTAGGAATCAGTGATTACTGAAGGGGAATTATTTTTTTTGCTGCAATAATTTTCATCTGAAACTACTCTGCCTCTGGAATTCATGCTTCAATGTTTCACATCGTACTTTTTACTTCTCGAACGGTCCATTGGATATTGGATCTAAGAAGTCAACATTTTTTCTCCGCTTAATGAGACACCTGAAAACGAGCTGTGCTGGCTTAATGGTGTTCTCCTATATGATTCCAGTTTGTATTTGTAAGTTTAGATCAAGTTAACTCCCTCCCCTCATCAAGAAGGAACAAGTTAAAATCTTCCACCCCAGCGTTTAATTCAAATAACTTTCCTAAGCGCTGCATGTAAAATGCTTGATTCTGATAGGCTGAACAATCCAATTTAGAACCAAGTTAACATCCTCCCCTCACCCACCCCCCAAACGGTTTATGGGGGATGTATACTTGGTCCGTAAGTTTTCATAAATAACTACTCTGTAACTAAATATCGTTCGGAAACAATTTATTATAATATGATCATTAATGCTAACAGACAATGCTCGTTTTCCTTTAAAAACTAGAACTTGGGTTCCTTTCTCAGATCTTACTCGCGACAACTTGTATAACTTGCTCCCGGCGCTCTTGCCTCCGATGTGTCTCAATCGCTACTACATAGCAGAGGGAGTCCGTCTCTACTCTCAGGAAACATGGCGTCTAGTTTTCGAACACACCGGTCGTAAAGTGGTGTGTGAACACATAAATGACGTCATCAAGTTCTATGTCAGTCAATCAGAAGCGGAGAATCACGCGGTCAGGGAGGCTGTGTGTGCGTGTGTGACAGAGTTGGTCACGAAGATTGACAAGGATGTGTTGGTTGGCCACGTAAACACTTTGCTGGAGCTGCTGATGATTTGTTTCGATGACGACAGGTAAAATTTAATGTTACATCTTTTCCAGGTCTATGTCAACATTTGAAAGTATTTCTGATAGAGTTCTGATAGACGATTTCTGATAGAGTTAATTCAAAAAATCTATATGATATACTTATCTGGAATATGTGTGTTAACCGAAACGGATTTAGAAAATATGTATTATTGCATCTGTTTTTGACAAATATGCTCGTTGCTAAAACGAGGACTTGTATTTCTTTGATATTTTTTTACTTAAGCTGGCCGGTTAGAGATTCAGCCTGCGTAGCGACCGGTTTCTTCGTCGAAGCCTTTCCAGACGAGTGCAAGAGCTCTGCAGATGAAATCGCAGACAATTTCTATCACAACTTGACCGACAACATTCCATCTGTACGGGAGGGCGCAGCTGTCGCGTTGAAAAAGTTCTGTTCCGTTTATCCTGACTGGGTTGAAGGTGTGATGGAAGAGATGAAAAAAGGACTCGGACAAGTTGCCAATCAAGAGGAAAATTCGATTCTAAATGACGGGCTTGAAAAAGGTGCATTTTTTATTCTGATGACCTCAATTCTAAAAAATTCTAGTTAAAAGTTGTAAAAGTTGCATCGACAAATGCTGAAGTTCTGTAGGCTTACGTTTTTTAAGTACAAAAAAAAACAGAACCAGCACTATAGGATTTAGTGTTGTCGTGTGATTCCCGAAAGATGTGTTGATTGTTCTAGGCAGGCTTTTTTGTTTTAGGTCCTGCAACCTATTCGGTTGTGAAGCAAGTGCATGACAATGACCCGAGTCTCCATGAGAACCAAGTCATGTACTCGTGCGGGTCACTCGCCCCCAAAATGAAGAAGGGTAGTTCTAAACGGGCAAAGGTAAATAATATCAACCTATTGCATCCCCGTAAAATTCCATTAAAAGGTACTGAGCTCTGTCAATATTTGGGTCGTGCCACTTTCGAATTTTAGACTCTTTTTTTTAAAGTTTCCGTGGCTTGACTTTTCAAATTCATGAGCATTTTTTTGTAAGCTTTGGCTTTGGACATATTCTTTTTGTTGAGGTTTTGTATGTTTTATTTATTGAAGTTTTTTCTTTGTAAACGAAAGAAGAGCCTCTTTCGATGATTAATTTTTGCTCGAAAAGTTAATGTATTTAGGTATGTGACAAAAGACCCGATACTGGGGGGTGCATGGCTCATTCATTCAAGCGACCAGGTCAGCCTTGGGAAATCACTGACGGTTTTGTGCTCCTACTTGGAGAAATATCATCTGTAAATGACCTCAAGGCTAAGATAGACAACTCAATCACAATTTTAATTGCCAAAGTGTTCAACTACAAACATTTCACCCATCATCCAAAACTGTTCACTACGTGCTACAAGGTTTTGGCAGCTCTTTTCACGAACATGGGTAAAATGTACACCAAACGGACCTTAGAAATGTTCTTAGATGGCTTGTTTTACGGCTTGTCAATCGACAACAAGTTAGCTCAATGCGCGGCTGAAGACTGCTTTACCACAATAGCCAAAATTATTGGTCCAAATATTTTGAAAGGAAGAGTTGAAAATTACGATTCAAAGATGCTGAATAAACTACATTTCGTGCATTGAATTGATAAGTTCCCTTCGCTAATCGAGCTAAATTCGAATTAAAATATACTGCGGTTTAGATGTTGACATGTGTGGTTTGTTACAGCAGTAGAGATAAATTTCTCAACTTTACTATTTTATTTTGGTACAAATTTTAATTTAATTTCATCGGTTCAGCTGAAATTATAAGCATTTCGCATTAGTTTTCAGAAGAATAGGGTTCTCAGTATAGTCAATTGTTCTTAGTTATTTGAAAATCTGGACTTCTCGAAAATCTGACTTATTTGCTTCCGAGTCGTTTTTCTAAGTGTTTTCCTTTTGTAATTGTAAATTTTAACCGGTAGGAACTTTCTGTTCGGAATGACATTGTTAGACCATTATCGCAGCTTGTCCTCAATTTGCGCTAAAAATTTGAAAACTGTTCTATACGGTAAAACATCAATCGCGCTCCAAAACGAAATTTACTCGTACCTGCGAACCCATCCTGCTTTTGGAGAACGACCTTCAATAGAAGGGAAAACCCTCTCCCAGTTTCGATTGGAGACTTTCAGAAGGACTAAAGCGTTGTTCGCGAGCAAGTTCATGACTTACGATCGGATGTTTGAGGACGTGAATAACTACGTGGAGTTCAACACTTGTGTGGGAATGTATGATTGGTCGTGTCTGGCCAAGTATGTATTGTCATGGCAGTTTGTAGGACTGACTTTGCATGTCCTGGGCACGGAACAACACAAGAAGTTCAGGTAAGAGAACAACTTCTTTCCAATTCTTGCTAAGTTCATAAAAGTGAAAAAAAATGGACCTATAAGAACTCAAAAATTGATGTTTTCGAATAAAAATATGAGCATGCTTTTCGCGCTCCCCTGTTGGGGAGGGTGTGATAAATGCCCCTTGCAGCTGTTTGCACAGCCCTCGGGTCCACCACTGGAAGGCGGCCTTTCTGCCAAACTGCCCCTACGGTACTTCCAACACACCACTTAACTCCCTTTTAACTGGCAAAATTATGAAATTTGGGCATTGAACTCATTTAAATGCCATCTTATACCAATTAATATCTATCAAATGATATAGATCTTGAATAAAAGTTTTGAAAATTTTCAAGAAGCGTTTGTTATTTGATTTTAGAGAAGACATCGAATCCATGCGAATCTACGGCTCATTTGCAATCACAGAACTAACTCATGGGAGCAATATGCGAGGTATTCAAACCACGGCCACTTACGACCCAAAGACCAAAAGCTTCATCTTGAACACCCCTTCTTTGGAATCTGTGAAATGTTGGGTGGGAAACTTAGGAACTACCGCTACTCACACTCTGCTGTTCGCTCAGTTGTATACTCAGGGAACTTGTCATGGAGTCCATATGTTTCTGGTTCCAGTGAGGAGCACTAACAACTTGACGCCCCTCCCAGGTATTCTAGTGGGGGACATGGGGTCCAAATTGGGACTCCATGGAGTGGACAATGGGTTCATGGCATTGAGGGGAGTTTCGGTTCCAAGAGAGAATCTCCTCAATAGATTTTCAGATGTGAAAGAAGATGGAACATACGTGTCGCAATTCAAGTAAGTCGATATACGTGTTAGTATAAACTGCTAGTGTCAAAAGAAAGAAGAGGTCAAGCGAATCTTTATATGGGCTATTTTTTGTCAGAAAATTTTTTGACCGCAATCTTTATTAGCTAAATTTCGAATTTCATAAATTAAGTTAATAATATTGAAATTATATATTAATTGCATGAATTGTTACGCTTGTGAAAATGATATCTTAAGATTTTTGTAATTTCTTGAATGTGGGCAGGGCAGCATATGAATTTTATAACACGGGCGGTATCTGTTAAAGTTTATTAAAAATCCTGATTTAGAGACGCAGAAAAGAGACTATCCGCGAGTTTAGGCGCACTGCTCATGGGTCGAGTCGCTATCATCGGCATATCGGTGGCCAATATGCGATGTGCTCTCGTCATCGCCCTCCGATTTTCTAGTCAGAGACAACAGTTCTTCAGTGACCCAGAGAAGAAACAAGAAACTACTGTAATCGAGTACCCAACTCAGCTGATCCGACTGGTTCCCAACTTCGCCAAGTTCTTTGTCTATGAACGATTCTCAAGGCGCCTTTTTGATCACTTCCATGAGAACCTAAAAGCTAATGTCAAAGGCGAGCTGAAAGAATCCGATGAAATCGTTGGCCGAAATCTGCATGTGTTGTCGTGTGGAGCGAAAGCTGTCGTTACGTCGTGTGCGCAAAATGTCATTCAGACATGTCGTGAAACTTGTGGAGGTCACGGATTTCTATCTCACTCAAATTTGGGAAAGTTGAGAGAGGATAACGACCCACAACTAACTTATGAAGGAGATAACTATGTATTAATTCAGCAGCTGATAGGCTACGTTTTGAAGAACTACAAAAAGAACGGAGTCTTGAAGATATTCGACTTTGAGCTGAATGAGAAAATTGAGATGTTTCCAAAGTCAATCGGAAGTTTGGAGAATTTCTCGGACCTGGAGAAAGCAATGCGAGGCTTAGTCTTTGTGTTGCTGAAACTTGGTAGTTTGCATAATGAGCATTCAAAGTTGGATCTGGCTAAAAGTGTTGTAAATGTGATCGCGTTCCACTGGTTTCTGAAGTGGCTGGAATCTGTTCCAAAATCACCGGAACACGAGTTTCTTTCTCAGATGGGACAGTTGTTTGCGGTTCAGACGCTGTATGAAAATGCGTCCTATCTCTACGATGCGAATATTCTCCAGTCCAAAGATTTGAACAGACTTCAAATTCGAATTGAGTGTCTGAATGAAGCTCTGAAGAAGAACCTAGTGACGGCAGTAGACGCTGTAGCGCCTCCCGATTTCGTCTTGAATTCGTCTCTCGGCAGTTCGGAAGGAAACTTGCATGATAATATTGTGCAGCAGATTCTCAATGCAGACCATTCTAGACCTTCGTGGTGGAAAGAAGCAGTTAATTTTGATTCACTCGCTAAAATGTAAAAAAGCTGAAAATTAGATGACTGCTTTTAATCGTCAAAAATATGTTTTTTGGAATTTGACAGGTTTAAATCTATCTATTATATATTTAAATGCGGGCTTCACTATCTCGCGATGCTTAAGCTTTTTCAACGTATTATTTTTGCATGTTTAAGCTATATCGTATATTGCAATGGTTAAGAATTTTTTTTTGATTTTTCAATTTGATTTTAGTGGTTATTTTACCGATTTTAAATTAAGCAGCCCAATATCGAATTAGGGGTTGCGAATTTTCAGAAAATTTTAATTAATTAATTCTCAAAATTTGAAATTCCCAATCTTGTAGTTGGGTGCTGTCAGAGTACTGTAAGGAGTTACAAATCATGCCTCTAAATATGACCGTTTAAATCTTTGTAGTTTTCGAGATATGACGTTTTTTGTGATTTTTCAAAAAAAATTTCATTAAACTTATTAATTTTTTTTCGTAAAATCTGAAATTCTCAACCCTGTAGTTGGGTCCTGTCAGAGTTATCTCAAAGATTGCGAATCTTGCCGCCAAATATGATTGCTCAATTCTTTGTAGTTTTCGAGATATGACGTTTTGTGATTTTTCCAAAAATTTTCAGAAAGTTTAAATAATTTTTTTTTCAAAATTTAAAATTTCCAACGCTATAGTTCGGTGTTGTCAGGGTACTCTAAAGAGTTGCAAATCTTGCCACATGCGACTGCTAAACGCGACTGCTCTAATGCTTTTAGTTTCCGAGATCTGACGTTTTTTGACTTTTTCAAAATTTCTCGAAGAACTTATCTACAAAGAATTTCAAAAAATTTGAAAATACTAACTTGATGAAGATACAACCTTATTGTCAGCGTACACCCAGGCGTCTCAAATCTTGCCTGTTAATATGAATGCTCAAATCCTTTTAGTTTCCGAGATAAGACGTTTTTTTTTCGGTAAACTTAGGTTAAAAATTCACAAAATTTTAGGATTCCTAACCCTATAATAGGGTGCTCTTAGTGGTTGAAAATCTGGCCTCCAAATTTCTCCAGAGGCCCATTAAGTTTTCGAGATGACGCTTTTAAAATGGGAATTAAAAAATGTAAAAGTTCGAAATTACCAACCCTGTAATTGGGTGCAGTCAGAGTACACTAAAAGTTTGCAGATGTTGTTTCCAATATATGCGGTTTTTCATGAGCTGTCGTAAAATTTCGAAGCACCGAAGGTGCGTTAAACGCTAGTAACCGGTGAAATCTCAATTTTCATCAAATTGAGCCTGAAAATGAAAAATCTAAAAGGCCGGCCTCGAAAACCGCACCTTTATTTGGGGGCGGATCTAGAGTTTTCTCGAAAGGGGCGCTGATTTTCATAAATATTGTCTTCGCCGACGAAATTGTCTTCTAAGGTCTCTTAAAGCACCATTAGGAACCTATTTTGACCAAGATTTTGGTCATGTTTTGAAAGGTGTTGACCAAAAAATTGCATAGTGTCGGAGCATTCTCCTTCATTTTTAGGAATAATGGCGCCTCTAGAATGTTTTATTATCACAAGTTGAAGTTTGCTTTTGGTTTTCAGGGGTCAGACACATGAGGGGTTCGTCCCCGCCCTCCCCGTAAATCCGCCTAACTGTTTTTCTGGGTACGTTTTTCTAGGTATGTTTTTCGAAGAATGTAAAAAGTAACGAGGATTTTTTTATGTGTTTTTTCTAGCCCCCGGCCTGCTCGAGGATAGACGGTTACTGCAAATAGCACAGAATGTTCCCACCATAGTTTAAGAAAAATACAAAAAAAGTTTTTTCAATTTAGTGTCGTTTTTTTTTGCGTGGTATGATTATAAAGATCTGAACAAAAAAATAGAACTTCGACATATTCGACAGTCATAATAAAATAGGCATAAAGGAAAACAGCGGTTTTGTAAAAAATGAATAGAAAAACGAAACAAAAAACCTCAAAAAAATTTCAACATTTTTGCTGAAATTTTTTTAAGTTTCTGATTTCCAAAATGGAGCAAAAAAAAACTCCAAAAACTAACTTTACTCGGCTAAAACTAAGTTGTCACGGCTTAACGGCTGATTGAGTATGAGTAAGCTATTTTGAGCCTGCTCGCTCACCTTATTCGCTCGAATTTATACCAAAAATCAAAAATTTCAAACGGGCTTTTCTTGACACAGTATTTTTTCAATGTACTTCGAATCACGGCTAAAGGGACTTTAATATGACATATCCCTCGATACTTTGCGATGCTTACACTTGCGAGATTAAGTGTGTTGTAATCGGGAACTAGACTTTTCCTTAAATTTTTTCTTACACATTCTTGTATTCATTATTTCTCTTCTTTTACACCTTCCAGTAACGGCGTCGCCTTTTCACTAACGCCGTCGCCTGTCCAGTACCGCCGTCACACTTCTAGTAGCGTCGTCGCCTTTGCAGTAGAGCCGTCGCTGGTATCGCCGTTTTCTTTGCTTTTTAAAGTCTGGGGTTCGACTTTCGATTGTCTGCTCAAATTTCGTTGGCTAAGTTGCATTATCTCGGATTTTACTTGTACTGTAATAATTTTTGATTGCAGTTGCAAGTGCAAATTTTCATTCCAGTTTCAGGGAGGACTTGAATGATTTTAACTTTTTTCATAAAATGTTTTTTTTCTAGTTTCAACTGGTGTCTGCTCAAGTTTTGTCGTCTAAGTTGCCGAAATAGGATTTTACTTGTGCTGTAAGCAACTTTTATTGCAGTTGCAAGTGTTGTTCATCTAGTTTCAGGGGACTCAAAAGATTAAAAAACATCATAACATCTTTTAGTTTCGGCTCATTTGGTGTCTGCTCAAGTTTTTTCGGCTTAGTTGTCGCATTTTGGTTTTTCCTTGTGCTGTGCGCCACTTTCATTGCAATTTCAAGTGTAATTGTTGTTCATTGTAGTTTCAGCGGGGACTTGAAGGGTTTTTGAAAAGTTCGTAATTTTTGCTGTTCAACTGGTGTCAGCTTTAAGATTGTCGTCTTATTTGCCCATAACTGATTTTTGTGCTGTAAGCAACTTCCATTGTTGTTGCAAGTGAGTGTGTAGTTTATTGTAGCTAAGTTGCGACATCTCGGATTTTGATTGAGATGCAAGCAGTTTTGATTGCATTTGCTAGTGCAAATGTTGTTCATTCTAGTTCAGGGAGGACTTGAATGATTTCAACTTTTTTCATAAAATGCTTATTTAGTTTCAACTGGTGTCTGCTCAAGTTTTGTCTAATTTGGCGCCTCTCGGATTTTGCTTGTGCTGTAAGCAGCTTTAATTGCAGTTGCAAGTGCAAGTGTTGTTCATTCTAGTTTCTGCGGGGAATTTTTTTTCCTATTCAATTAGTGTCAGCTTAAAGATTGTCGTCTCAGTTGCCAATCACTGATTTTTTTTGTGCTGTAAGCAATTTTAATTGTTTTAACTGAATATGTTGTTTATAATAGTTACAGGCGGGATTTTAAACTTAGTCAACGTAAAATATAATTTGTGTTGTTTATAGTAGTTTCAGGCGGGATTTTAAACTTAGTCAACGTAAAATATAAGCTTATAAAAATCGATTTCTTTTTCGGGTCAACTTATGTCAGCTCAAGATTGTCGGCTTTGTTTCCTCATTGCTTGATCTGTTCCTTTGTTTATTTACTATTCAAATATCTGGCATGTTTGCCTAGAAGTAACTTCTATTGAGACATACGAAAATTCAAATTTTGGTACACCTAGATTTTTCAACTTTTTTTTTCGTTTTTTGTTCAATTTTTCATGTTGTTTTTTCTGTGTTATTTGTGGTTCATGATTTAGCGTGGAAGAAAATGAAATTTAGACAACTTATCTACGCTGAAATGGAGATCCAGCATCAACATTGAGGCAAGAATTTTATGAACCGCTTTTGGAAAGAAGTGAAAACCATGTGCTAACAAGTAAAAGGTATCAAAGCAATGTAGAAACTGAATGTCTGTATAAATTAGCGTAGAATAAAGTCGGAATAAAATCCATAATATTATAAAAGATACCCAGAAAGATCCAAAAAATAAAAAGGAAAGTGCAATAATAATCTTTTTGACAATATTTTTAGTAAAATTTCAAAGTTGAACGTTTTCGTTGACATAAGGCTCAAAAAAGAAAAACTATTTCCTCAATTTTAATGGATTTTTTTCCAGAAATTTTCAAATGGTCAAAGTGATCCATCCATTGAACCAAAAAGAAAAAAGAAATTCAATTAATGATTTTTTTTTCAGTTTTTCCTTTGTTTAATTTTCGTCGGAAATTGGATCAGAATCTTCGGAATTGGATCATAATTTGCTAGAAAAATTAGTTTGATTGTAGCCCCTGATAAATCGCCACATCAGTCTTTTTTTTCAGTTTTTCCACTGTTTAATTTTCGTAGGAAATTGGATCAGAATCTTCGGAAATTTGATCAGAAATTGCTCGAAAAATTAATTTGATTGTAGCCCCTGATAAATCGCCACAAATCAAAAAATATTTTAAGCAAGTTTGAAATAATCGTTTTTCATCAGGTTGAAATAATTTAACAAGTTTACGTCTAGTGGTTATTATTTTTCAAGTCAAAGCTCCTGTCCTTGCTCCATGCGGACCGATAAAAAAATTTTGTCAATTGAAAGAAGCTTTACAAAATACAGTCTGCAACTTCTTAAATACATCAAGGAGAAGTGTGGTAAAAGTCTGAAGGTTCATCAGAAAAAGTTTCAAACTTTTTAAAGCCACTTGTGATTTTTTTGGGTTTTGACTTTTGATTGAGAGTCAATGAACGTAGTCCAGACACCTATATAGGTCGTGATGTTTTTTCCTTTTTTCAAGAAAAGTTTTAAAATGCTCTAATATTTTACTGAAGTGCATTAATACACAAATGCTTCTAAGTATATATGCACTATTTGATTTCAATTCAGTTTCAGCTACAAAAAGTATCTTAAGTTGCGCTCTCCAATTACGAAAATATAAAGGCCACGAAAAACGTGATCGACTTCAAGTTTTGAAAGTGTGTTTCATTGTTTCAGATTTCCCAGCGGAACGAAACTTAAACTATTGATCCAGTTTCTTCAAATTGAATTATTTTTGCTTTCAAAGAAAGTCCATCAGAAAATAATTTTGAAATTCAAAAAACTTTCATCATTTAAGAGTCATTAACGTAGTGAATATTTTTAATATAGGTGTTTCTGATTGTTTTATTGTTTTTAGGACAAATTGTTCACGCTCTAATTACATCTTTCGCTAGTTAAGTTAATTTCCTTTTTAAAATGAAGGCAAACTCCACTATCGAACAGCAAAAGTGTAAAGATCACAAAAAACATTATCTACTTCTAGTTTCGATAGTGGATTTTAATTTGCAGGTTTCCCAGCTGAATAAAAAAATAGTTACTGATCTAGTTTTCTCAAAGGGGCTTATTTTATCAAAAATTGTCAACCATAAATTTTTGAAATTCAGAGAGCTTGAAGGCCATATACTTTTTTCTTTGAAAGTCGAAATTTGATTTCTTTAAAAAAAATTAGTCTGTTTTTTTTTCAGGCTATTTCCGTTCATGACTCCCAAATGTCTGTTGGCTATCTTTTTTTCTACTTTGAAATTTAAGCTATAATTGAACTGCGTTTTTTTCGCTTGAAAAGTGAGTTGAAGCGTGAAACCTCTACTTTTTGTAAAGTTCAAATTTTCGCCGGCTTTGTAGAAGCGTGAAACCGCTCGACTTTTTTTGGAAGTGTCAATGAATTTAATAAAGGTCGGGTTGATTTTTTTAAAACACAAGTGCATTGATACATATTAATGCAATTATGTTTATATGCACTTTTTTGAGTTCAGCTGAAGTTTATTTGCTAAAAGGTAGGCAAGCTTTGCTCTTCAATTACAAAAGAGACTGGGCGAAAAATTGTAAACGACTTCAAGTTTCAAAAACGAATGTATTTTTATTTTGAAATCTCACTAGAATACAAATTGATCCAATTTTCTGCTTTTGGGTTATTTTTATTTTTTTTCTATCTATTTTTTTTGACATTTTTCAGTTTGTCTGTTGGTAATGTCACTAAAATACAAACTTTACAAATTGATCCAATTTTCTGGTTTTGGGTCATTTTTTTCTATCTATTTTTTTGACATTTTTCAGTTTGTCTGTTGGCAATGTTGTTTTCTTATTTATCTTCGATTCTCTAAACACCAGTGAAATTAGTTAAGCAGTGTTGATTTTAAGTTTCGAAATTGGAATTTCTTGATTGGGATTTTTGGAACCTTTGACCCATGAAATGTTTTCAGTGGCTCGGTGAAAAAAAAACCAAATAATCCATACAATTTAAACATAATGGAAATATACCTAAATAACCGAAATCGCTTCAACGTGGACGTATTTTGGAGGTCATTTTGAGAACAGTATGAACATTTATGCACTAAGGACTACGCTTTTCTGCGCAGGTTTCCGAGCATTCTAATGTTTTCAGATAAAGTTGAAACGTCTCTACTTATTTTCAGGTAACAAAAATGTCCTTTGATGTCGATACATGGATCGAACTGGTCAAAGACTGCAAATACATTCCAGAAAACGACTTCAAGCAACTCTGTGAGAAAGTGAGCGAGATATTTCTGGAAGAATCGAACGTGCAATTTGTATCTACACCTGTCACAGTTTGTGGAGACATTCACGGTCAGTTTTATGACCTCGAGGAGCTTTTCAGAACGGGAGGTCAAGTTGCAGATACGAAGTATGTATTTCTGGGCGATTTTGTTGACCGAGGTTATTACAGTTTGGAGACGTTGACAAGGTTGCTTCTGTTGAAGTTGAAGTATTCTGACAGAATTGTGTTGTTGCGAGGCAACCACGAGACGAGGCAAATCACACAAGTATATGGTTTCTACGATGAGTGTATATCTAAATACGGAAATGCAAATGCGTGGAGATATTGCTGCAAGGTTTGTCAAGTTCATAGGAAAAGTGGACACACGAGAGAAATAGTTTCACATTAAGTAACATAAATACTCAAATAACCCATAAACAATTGAAATACCTCATGTATACTCATTTTTAGCCTCGAATAAATTTGTAGGAATTTGCTTCATTTGGGTATTTGCACCATTTCGGAGGGTCGAGTGATGTGTTTTCAACATACACCTAGTTGAAATATTATATTTTTTGGTAGCTTTCGTAAAACGTTGATAGGTGAAATTTGTGGTCCTGAAATAGTTTTTTTTCTTATTTGAGTTGTCGTTTGAGAAATGAGTAATGGATTCAGTACTTGTTGTGTTGCTAGGTGTTCGACTTGATGACAGTTGCTGCTTTGATAGACGGGCAGATCCTCTGTGTACACGGAGGTCTTTCTCCAGAGATCAACACCCTGGACCAGATTCGAACCATAGACCGCAACCAGGAGATACCTCACAAGGGCGCCTTCTGCGACCTCGTCTGGAGTGATCCGGAGGACTTGGATAGTGGTTATGGAACTAAGGCCTGGAACATCAGCCCGAGAGGGGCCGGATGGCTGTTCGGAAAACAAGTGGTCGATGTGAGTGTTCATTTCTTGTATAAAGTCCATGTGCTGATGTTGAACAGTTATATGGATTTCTTATACTTCGGCCGGACGAAATAATTAATGATTAATAAAAAAGGAACAGCTCAAATTAACATCATTTTTCACTCAATTTCAAAATTGTGCATTCACATAAAAATCAGCTTTATTCTCAGTTGAGTTTAAAAAGCTATCTAATTGCGTGATTTTAAAGTGCTTCTTTTCTATCATCAGTGCTCTTTGGTTCGTCCCATTAAAGTTTTAATTATTCAGGAGTTCATTCATATAAACGACCTCAAACTCATCTGTCGCGCCCATCAGCTGGTCCAAGAAGGCTACAAGTACATGTTCGATGACACCCTAATCACAGTGTGGAGTGCCCCCAACTACTGCTACAGGTGTGGGAACATAGCAGCCATCCTGGAGATCAATTCCGTCTCCAGCAAAAACACAAAACTGTTCAACGCCGTGCCAGACAACGAGCGCAAAACTCCTCCCAGAAACATGTCGCCCTATTTTCTATAAGTTCAATTTAATATGATGGATGTAGATGTAGTTGATGCTGAATTTAAGCTGCTAATCTTAGAGTAAATGAAAATTCAACTAAAAGGTTAAATATGATGCTGAAAGCAAACTACGAATGTTCTATGCGTGGCGAATTATGCCGCTCTGAAAATTTTTTCAAGAAGTAAGGCAAGCTAATGATTATTAATCCTCTATAAGACTCAATTTTTAATTTTAAACTGTTTTATATTAGCTACTTGGGGACGAAAAGCGAAAAACAAAATGTTCAGAAATTACAGTTAGTCAAAATATTTTGTGATTCGTAAATTTATTGCTTAAATAAAATGGCCTTTTTGTTAGCAATCGACGGTTTTCATCTGATGTGAAGTTTTTAAGTGAATTGTTGTCGAAGTGAATGGTAATTTTTATGCTTACTAATAACGAGCGCAAAGCTCCAATTTAGAACATACTTTTCTCCATATAATCAACTTGCCTAAAATTGAGAAGCATTTTATAGTTTGGTTCATAATCAATCGAATTTCTGGGCGTTATGTTGCATGTTCAGCTTGGCAGTAACAACCATGCCTAGCAATCCGAAGGTCCAGATTTCGAATTAAACGAGGAACTGGTATTTGATAACTGAAAAAGTTTGCGCTTGAACTAAATCGTCGGACTTGTTTGTCTGTCTTATCGGCTGAAGGCTAAAAGCTTGAGCAGAAATTGTCTGACAGTACCAGGGTGGTCGTGTCTTGAGAAGAATTTGGCTGCATGCTCAGTTTAGCTAATTTGGTTTCCTGAAACCCACGAAAGACATTGTTCTGGATAATAGAGATGAAACAATACTGCAGGTATATAGCAAAGCACTGAGTTTTCCGAATGCCATTCCAATGGTCTCAAATAGTTTTTAGTAACTAAAACTCGAAGAGACTTTAATTTTGGGCGAAAATATCGAATAGTATGCGCGAAAGTTTGAGCCAATTTAGCTTGCATCAGTTCAATTCAAAACTACTTTAAGGCGGGGATATTTCGCCACTCATAATTGTTTCGCGTATTGATAGTCTTACTAAAAACAAGCAGTTTTTAACCACAGATTAGTGCAAGAATATCCGTTCGCGTATCCGAATAATCCAGGAGCAATCACCAAGCGGTTAAGTAGTTCTGGGTAAAATTGATTTGAATGAAAATTTACATCAGTACCAAAACAGAAAAGCAGACCCATTTGGACCAGAGGCGGATTTAGGGGGGGCGGGGGGGGGGGGATCGGACGCCCCCCCCCCCCCCCCCCCCTCAGGGATTCGACCCCCTGCCGACCCAAAGGGTCCCCCCTTTGATACTTTTTCAGAAATCCATTTTTGCCCGACCGACCCTAAAATTTTTCTAAAGGCGCCTTTGGCGCCAATATATACTAACTTTGAGTGGTAGCGCGCCAAAAAAAAACGCGTGTTTTTGTCAAAATTTTCCAAAAAGTGCCCAAAAACGGCTTTTCTTGGCCTGTTTTTTCAAAAATTTGCCTACGGCGCAGAAAATTTTGCCAAAATAGGGGCAAAACCAAAATAAAGCTCGAAAAATCAATTTGGTCGACCTCAAAAAAAAAAGGTCATCAAAATTTTCGAATTTTTTTGAAAATCCGCCCCTCCCTCAAGAAAATCCTAGATCCGCCCCTGATTTGGACCAAAATTTAAAAAATCTGTCGTTTTGGAGCCAGACATATTCAGTTGGCCGAAGATTAGAGCTTTAAAGACTGTTTTTAGGTTCTTTGTTTAGGATAATGGGTGGGCTAAGCGCGCGTCGTCGCTTCGCGGCGATAACTGCTTCTATTGTTTACGAATACTACTAACCTCTGTTGGCATGGAAAAGCTCGTAGCACGTTAGTGCGACTATGGTGGTCATATTTCTGCTATCTAGCTTCATGCTGTGGCTTAATTTTGAATCAGCGTTTTCGGTGGTTCTAGAAATGTAAATTTGGTTTCACGGAATCTGTAACAGGAGCTCATTCTTTTCCAGTATCGTTGAGTTTCGGGTTATGTGACCAAAGGATAAAACATCAGAGCCTATAAATTGCGGAATCCGTGACTAAAAACTGCCTGTTTTTGCGGAATCGGTGACCAAATGTTTATCATTGCAGATGTAAATCCACGGAATCCGGCAGATACGGTTTCCGTGGTTTTTCGGCCTTTGAATAGTGTCGTTCGTAAGAGTTGTTCTCTGGTATTTAATTATTTGGTGGTTTTAAATAATAAACTATTAACCTGCAAATTTTTTATTTATATGAATTTAATATTGCAACTCGATTTTTTCAGATCCAATTACTACCAAAACTTTTTCGATTGCCCGTTGATTTTTTTTGGCATATTTCGTTGTTTGGCATTTTTACACAAGCAAAGATTGTGTGATAGTATAAACTATCTTTTTTTTTTAAACTAAGTCTCAAATATAAGTGTTCATTTTGAACCCGTTCTCTTATTGCAGTGTGTGCATAAGTTTCGTAACCAGATATTAAATACAGCCAATGCTTAGGATAGCACTTTAGCTTCGAGGTATCAAGAATCTGCATAGAGGTAGGGAAGGAGACCCGCATTAAAATAAGAGGGTTCGAACCTGGGAAGTGTCGGATGTCTTAATGGAACTTTTTCGTATACCAGTTAAAATGCGTCCGCTCTATAAATTCAGGCATGTTAGTTGGTAAATTTGTTCTTTCAAATTGACTGGTACTGCTAATGCATCATGAGTGGCTTGCGTCTTCTAATAATTATGTAGACTCATAATTGGCGTAGGTTACTTAAGAAATTATGTAGACTCAAAGTTTTACTCGTTCAGTTTTTCACAGTAGCATTATCTGTCATATTTTTGCTTGTGTATGCGAAGTGCAACTTCGCCTGTGTTTAATTTGCCTAATCTGTTACAGATTCCGTAGTTTCTCTCATAAAAAGAGTTGTTTTCTGATTTTTAATAGTATAGTAAAAACTGATGTTTCTTTTTTTGTTGGATTTTTTTTTTCAACTTTTTTTTTTATTATATCAGTTTCAATTATTATGTTTTTAGTTGTGGGTTGAAATTTTTTGGCAATTTTCTCTATCATTTGGCATCTTTCAATTGGATATTCCGCTCAATTTGTTTGTCGTAAAATTGCAAATAGCTGATTCCGTGACATCGTAGTGTTGAAACCGCATGCCGCCATTGCAGAAATTTGGTCACGGACTCCGCAACAAGTTTTTGAGAATTCCCGTAATGCAGCAGGTGAGCTTAAAAGCTTAAAAGTGAGCTTAGCAAAAATAACACACCTAGGCCTCCTAATGCAATTAGTGTAACAGTTCCTTTACTCAGAAGCCTACCAATCAGACACCGAGTTGAATATTTCTGGTACAAGTTGGACCAAATTTTCATTTTGCTTTGAATGAACGTTGATACGATTGACATTTCACCAAAAAAGGCTCTCAGCAAGTAAATTCCTACTGTCGAATTTACTTTCAAGGAGTAAAGCAAAGGTTCGCGCCTAACGAGCTTTATTTGAGATTGTTTGGAATGTATGCAATTTCTCGCTACAATTTTAGATACCTGGGCAATTTTTTTTGGGCATCCGAGTTTTAAATTGTGATTTGGTCACGGGTGGGGCCTCTATTGCTATATCTATCCAGTTTTGCACACGTGGAGAAACTCTCAAGCAGGTTAAACAAACCAAAAGGATGATATATTACAATAGGTGGTAATTTTGAGAAATATATGAGTAGTACATGTATTCAGTTTGACAACTTTTGTTCATAATATAGTTCTTTCATTTTCACTAACTTGTACATGCTATACAAAGATAGCTTTTTTGTAAATTACTCTGCCAGACAAAACGTTGTTCAAAAGATCAAATTTCACTTTTCTTTTGCCATGCCCTTTGAATCAACAAAGTACGAAGAAGAAGGCAAATATATCAATGACTATCGTTATCAAGTGATAGTCAGTGAAGTGATAGTCAGTTACAAAAAAAACGGTTGCACGGATAAAACGTAGTCAATGCCGTTATCAATTCCAACCTTTTTTTCTTAAAGTTATAGCGTTAATTCCTATAAATGGCGACAAATCCATGTCTTCTCCAAAAACATTGTCCCCTGTTTCTTAAGTGTCAGAACCGAAGTTTTTGGTAGGTTTCGCGTTCTTTTTGGCAAAAAGGAGTCCATATTCATCTTGAGAAGCTCTGAGTACTTGGTTGTCATCTTCACCAAGGATTGTCTATCGAACCAAGTTGACGTCCCGTAATATTTGCACGGCAGTTTGTTAATCTTGTTGTGACTCATGTTTTTTTCAGACTTACAAAGATGAGTTTTTTATTTGCAGCGCTAAACATTTTTATCAGGGGCGGATTTAGGTAGAGGGGCGGATGCCCCTTCTCTCAGGGTTTCGAACCCTTGCCGACCCAAAGGGTCCCCCTTTGTACTATTTTGAGATATCCATATTGAAGACGGAAAACAAAAATTTTCTAAAGGCGCCTTCGGCGTCAATATATACTAATTTTTAGAAGAGAAAGCGCGCCGAAAAAGCGCAATTTTGTTCAAACTTTTCCAAAAAGTTCAAAAAAATGCCTTTTTGGCCTGTTTTTTCAAAATTTTGCTTGTGGTGCAGAAAATTTGGCAAAAACAGGGTCTTTTTAGTGCTTTGGGAAGCTCTGAAAATCAATTTGGTCGACCTTAAAAAAAGGTCGACAAAACTTTCGAAAAGTTTTTGAAAATTCGTCCTCTTCACCCCTCGAGAAAATCCGGATCAATTGAGCAATCACCACCCCCCTTCCCCCCACCCAATTCTCGCGTGGCGGGGGGGGGGGGGGGTAGGGGATATAGCTCAATAGGTACTTGAGACATGTTTATAACCACTTCAAAATTGTTTGAATGATATGAAATCATAAATCAGTTTCTCCAACGATAGTGGAACGCCAAAATTTAAAATATCAAAGCTCAAAAATTACATTCAGAGTGAAAAAAGAATCAATAAAACTAAGGCGACTTGGGTCGCATCAAGCCCATTTTTTCTGTTTTAAATGGAAAAACAGCTATTTTATTTTGCTGCGGAGAATAGTTTTTGATATTCAGATATAAGGCTAGAGCACCAACGGTGGTAAGTCGCTTTGCTCGATGAGGCCATGGTCGCACAAACAAAAAAAAATTTCACGTTTTTTTTCGCTTTGCAGTTGAAAGTTTTTTTTTGGTTTTGCTCTTTAATTATTATAAATAACATTTTAGTTCAAATTTTTGTATACATTTTATTGAAATGCCACTTGAAATTTGACCAATTATGGATTTTCGCTAATTATTTCTTTTTTGCTTGAACTGAATCGAATAAAACAAAGGTTAAATCCAGTTCATCTTTTTTTTACCAAACTAAAAGTTTGTTCAACTCTGACATCGAAATCATTTTATTCG